AATATTTAGTTTATAAACTATGACATTTATAAATGTATGAATCATATGGTGAAAACCTGACTTTGAAAAATAAAAATAAATCTGTTATTTTTGTTTTCTTATAGGCTAAATAAAACAAATGTTTGTGGTAATTTTTGACTGTGTAACTTTACAAACTGCAGCCCATACAAGTCCGCTCCAACAACCTAAATTGACTGCTTCAGTGAATGGAATGTTTAAAAGTAGTATTAAAAGATAAGAAGTCACAGTCCAGTATTTGTCCCCGCCCCCTCCTTCCTTTTTGTTCTTGAGTTCAGTTTGTAAAATGAGTAGAAAGTGTCATGCCTTCCTTCCAATCAGATGGATCATCCATAAATGCCTTACAATCGGAGAGGAGCAAAGGCAATCAAGGCAGCAGTCGACTCTTGCATTTGGAAAAGGTGTTTCATTTTTCTACTTGGAAGAAAAAATAAAAAAAACTGTTGCCTTTGTCTTGTGCAGGACGTTTTACACATTTATTTCCTTCTAGTTACTTTTTAAAATATGAATTGCCTGTTTGTTGCAATATTTGCCAGTTAAAGTTTTAGGAACTTTATTTCTTTATCAAACCCTCTGTTTACAAATTAACTGCCATGTTTGAAATGTGACATATTTTCTTTGTTTTTTGCTTCAAACTGGATTTCCAATGTCTGCGATAACGTGTATGCCTTTTTATTTGATGTCTAACTTAAGACTTGGATACTTGAAATGAATGAAAATGTGTACTATTATTATTAGGTTGGCTATTTATACTATTAATGGATGTGTGGTTTAGTACAGTGAGCAACAAAGTTGTACCTGTTCACAAACTTGAGATTACATTAAAAGACACTGAAAAAAAACTGAGTTATGATTTGAAGAAGAAATCACTTTGTTTAAAATGTTAAACATTCATATTGTGTAAAGTTGAAATGTTTTAGGACGTCCAAACATCTATCAGAACAAACAAATCTAACCAGAGAACCTGTTTTATCAGCTCTGACAAACATAAATTTGTAAATCAGACTACAGTAACACAATTTTATGCATTAAAAGTCACTGGACCTCATGTAAGAACATTTTCTTATTTTTATCCTGAATTTCTCTTACTTTTGTTCGTACGAACATGTCAGATTCTACAAACTCTTCTATCTTCAGGAAAACAGTAAATGAGCTGCGTAAACATCAATGCAGAGATGTGAAAAGTATTCACTACTTAAGTAGAAGTATAGATATTAGGGTTTAAAAATACTTTTTTGGAAGTAGAAGTATCTAAAGTCAAAAAGAAAAAAGTAGGTCCTCTGAATGGGTTCTTTAGTGAAACGTTTCGTCTTGAACCCGTCCAGAGGACCTATTTATTTTTACCTGGATTACTGAGATGCATCAGGACAGATCAACTCAAGCTTTTTACTCAAAAGTATAAAAATACTGGTTTTAAAACTACAAGTATAAAAATGAACACTTTAAAAAGGCCATTAAGGATAAAAACTTAGGCTGTGCCACAGGTTTCTACAGGGTGTATCAGAAAAAAATGATACGCTCAGAAAAATCTCCATAAAATTAACATAATTATGAAAATGTGGGCGTAACCTTTGGTAGAGGGGATCATTCTGCTTCCAATGAAAATCTTCGTTAACGCTCAGTGAGCAGGACGGTTGGAAATTCACTAAATTCATGTCCTTTGTGCAAGGAAATGTGTGGCTTAAAATACGATCTGTCACATAAAATTAAAAGTTTACATGGTGTTTTACACACATGCCAAAGTGTTTTTAAAAATAATTAACACTTTCATGTCCTAACATCTCATTTTTGAGTGGATCTTAACCAAGGGTTAACAAACATGTGAAGTAGCCGTGGGCAAGTCAATCCAGCCAACTAACATTACATGTAATGTACATGTACTCATTGGGTATTACATGTAATGTACATGTACTCATTGGGTATTACATGTAATGTACATGTACTCATTGGGTATTACATGTAATCAGAGCCGGCTCTTGGCATAGGCGAGCTAGGCGGTCGCCTACAGCGCCATCTGCTGGAGGGGCGCCAAACTGAAGAAGAAAAAAATAGTAAAAATTTGTAATCCCTGGTTGTAACTCTGCTCAGCGCCTCTTTCAATTAGCTTTGTCTTAAAAAACTTTAATGAAGTATTACAGGAAAATAAACTACTCTACCCAGGCTCACTTCGAAGCACGAAGAAAAGAGAGTGGTAAAAGTTCAAAACTTATTTCTAACGGCAGAACATGTTGGAAGATGGCTAATGCTATTTATTGTTTTTTAAATCATCCTAAAGGCTCTGACATGTTAGATAATTTTGAAAATGAGGTTTTGAAAAAATTCATGACTTGAAAAAAATCTGTGAGATAGCCCTATACGTCTGTACACCCGCAAAATGATGTAAAATCCTTATAACTGACAGACAATCTGTACAAGTTGACATGTGTAATGTTATTTATTTGCTTTCTGGGAAAGCAAATAGTACCTTACGCTGTCAAACTTGTTTTAGGTGTTTAAATTGGGGTGGGTTGGACATAGTTCGGGGGGGTGGGGTTGCACTTCAACTCGCCTAGGGCACCAGAATGGCCAGAGCCGGCACTGCATGTAATTATCCCATAACCTGGTACAAGATCATGTGGTCATTTTCTTTCATTAAAACAAAATCATCTCAAACATCACCTTATCTTCTGCAGACATTATAATTCCTGGACATAAAACCTGCAGTGTTGTATAAAGTACCACAAAGGGATACTTGAGTAAAAGTACAAGTATCTTACCAAAAAATACTTTGGCAAAAGTTAAAGTCTCCTTTAGGAATATTACTCGAGTAAAAGTATTAAAGTATCTGATATTTTTTGTACTTAAGTATTAAAAGTAAAAGTATTGATTTAAAATGAGCAGTTTGATTTTCTGTAATGACATTTATTACGAGGTGACCTCCACAAAAAAATGCAGAAAGGACTATATAT